AACTTGCAAGGCAAGTTATCTATGTATGCACTACATAATTAGCTTGTTCCACAAGTTACTATATAGAGTTAACTTGTTCTACAAGCTACCAACACGTGGTTAACTTGTTAGCCAAGTTTCTAACCTACAAATACATCTAAAGTCAAAACCGCATCTATGAAGCTTCTAGAAAGCTTATCTAAAAGACTTAATGAAATTAATCTATATTTACCTACTTCTACCTAATCATATAAGTAACTATTAGAATAAATATATATGTCTAAGACATATATTCCTTGAATGAATCAAATACATCTTATAATAAACTATAGAATGGTTTAATGACAATTTAGCTTTTTTAATAGAACAATATAGCAATCATAAGAATGATGTTTTAAAAAAATATTTGTATTTTTTTTTAATATTTTAATAAACTTTATACTAGATTAGAATGTTGCTTAAAGTCTTTCTACTATTAGAAAAAGATGGAGGATAAATAACAATACATGGCTATTCTTTGAAAATGTGTATAAAAGTTTTTGCATATATAAATAAAAATTTGATTTTACTAAGCTTATGATTTTTGGCTTGATTAGAAAAAATCTTAATTATATTATGAAAAAATTTGAAATTACAAAAAAATCCAATCTATCTAAAGATTATACTTTTTCATCCATAATAAGTTTAAAATAATTAGATTGGAAGAAAATTTAATAATATTAAATAAAACTAAGCTATTATGACCATTTATTATTACATCTATAGAAATTGTTTCATAAATAATTTCTCTAAAAGGTAAAAATCAATTATTTATGACTTTTACATACACTAGTCTAGTTTTTTATACCATGTATATTCTATATCTTTTAACATCTAAAAGAGAAGCCAAGGCTCTTAAACATAATAAAAAAGATACTTTATGATTTTTAGATTCCAAAAAAAAATCTATTATAAAATAAGGTGTAGATTGTAAAAAAGATTATGATCTTTTCTAAATATTGTATAAAATTATAATCCTATGGTTCTTGTTGTAATTTAAAAAGCTCATTATCTAATACATTATTTTTTTTATAGCCATGATTCTTATTTTATAGTTATATTATTTTTTATACAATGTCAAATAATAAGCTAAGATTCTTTACAATATAAGTACAATCCTTCTTGACAGTAATAAGTTTTTTTTTGCTCAATCAAAGATTTAAGGTTTACTACATTAATTTTCATATTTTCCACTTTCAAACATATATATTAAAAAAATCATTGAAATTGCTATTGAATTTTAAAAACATTAAGGCATTCTTTTGTAACACTTGTATTAAAGTTTAAAAAGTCAATTATCATACTTTATAGCAAAATAAATTGCTTGATTTAATTTTTGAAGATGATGTAAGTTTAATATTATTTTCTTCAATTTATATTGCAATCCACAAAAAAACTGGTCTGTAAATGCAACATCATCTTTCTTAATATTAATTGTAAGTTGTCAAAAATATGAATAATATAGGAATTTTAAAAAATTGCATTGACAAAAAATACAAATCTTGTTAATTGTAATATTAATTGTATCTTTTTTTATACATTAATCAAAATTTTGCCAAAAAAGCCTTTTAATTATCTAATATTAAATCATTTTATTTAAGATTAGATAAAAATTATGATAAAGCTGAATATAAAAATAGTGTTCTAATAAACATGACTTATGATTTTGGAGTTGAATAACTTTAAAGTTGAAGCTCAATCACTAATTTTATTTGATTCATTAATTCTTGAAGCTTTGATCTTATATTATTAAACCTCTTAAGGAAGAATTGTTTTGGCTTTCTAATACTTATAGTAATACTTAAGCTATGTTTTATATGGAAAAAATGATATGATTTGATGTAAATGTTGAAGCACCTCTAATCATCTCTATATCTTTACTTTTAGTTATTTTTGTTGTTCTTTAAGGTGGTGAATTGAATTGATGCATTGCAACCTATAACTCCCTCATTTCTTGTATTTATATTATTACATCCTTTATTTCACTAAGTTTTTCCATCATGACACAATAAAAAAGAAGATGTCTAATATGACTTGGGATAAATAGAAAAGAGGGCTTAAGTACAAATTAAATTCTAAGAATAATATGAGATTAAAGGTGAATAAACTAAAAAACATTATATTCTAGTGTTTTATTAAAGAAAATAATCATCCACTTTTAATCACGAAAAGACAAAGATCTAATATTCATAGTATATGTTCATCAATTTATCAAAGATATAAATCACAAAACAACCAAAGAGTTAATACATTCTTGTGATATGAGGAAAGAGAAAATATTAATTAAAATATGATTATAATATTGAAAATAGAATGACTATTGGAAAAAGAGAAGAAGAATAGAAACTTTTGAAACAAGATTAAAAATAAGAAAGACATTGATAAGAGTAATATAGGCCTCACTATTGCCTCTATATATACTATCTACTTAAGAATGTATATAATAATATTTTAAACATCAACTAACACATGTCTAATTTGTAAGACAAGTTTTCAATATGTGCATCACAAAGCCAACTTGTAAACAAGTAGTCAATACATGGACACATGGCCAATTTATTAGTCAAGTTTTTAACCTATCAATTATCTACAAATACTTATAGAGTCAAATTTGCATCTATCAAATTTAACTATTTTTATGTACTACTTAACTCTTTTTATCTTAATAATTATTAGTATCAATAAGTATGTCTTTAATATGTAGTTGCCAAGGTGAAAGCATGCAACGTAGATTGTATGGCCTTGGTAAGACACATTTCTGTCATGCTTTCATTACAATACTAAATAATTTTCTATGCTATCACTTGCTTCTACAATTCCATCTTTGATATTTCTAAAACTCAAAATCTTTGTAACAACTATTGTATGAACTATGTGAATATCCATTGTTAAAAATTATTTGATTTTTAAAATAAACTCTAATAACCATTAATCTCTGATAATTAATATTCATTTTTTGCCACAAACGATATTAATTAACATGGGTACAATTACACTTTAAATATCAAAAAATATACTTTAAATTTTTATTTAAAATATATATATATATATATATATATATATATATATAATCATATAATGAAGAACAATCATCTTCATAGATTTCTTCTCAAATTCGAAAGTATTATATTATGTTATGTTATGTTATCCTCACATCCAATATGATTTTTATGTAGAAAATTCCTAAATTTCTACAGCCTCAATTTTTTTTTCCTTGTATATTTGTGTATATATATTGATTTTCTTTTTCTTAAGTATTTTTGGTTTCTATGTTTTTTTCTTCTTAATCCAATACAAACTTATAAAAATTTGTTGCACCTAATTACTTTTTCCTTTGCAAACTTTTTATTATAATAAAAACCCCATTATAAGTTTTTAATTTATTTTTCGGTACTTAACTCAAACAATCAGTTGGTGTTATCCCATAGTAACACTGATCTAATTCCATATATGTATTTGGAATATTCACACCTTACTACCTAAAGTTTAAGAAATTTAAAAATCTACATAGACATTGGCAGTATAATTTATAACAGTTCAAAACTTGTCTTCAGCAGTTTAAAGATTAATTGAAATGTGGATTAATTATGAGCAAATGATCCCAACCAATACTAATATAAGAGGGTATCAATAAATCATTTTTAAAAAAGATTGTTTTTTTAATATATGTATATAGTATGTATGTACATTGTGATTTCAATAAAACAAATAATACTTCAAAAAAAAAATTATTTTATTTTTGAATACTATAAATTTTAATCTAATATAATTTTCATATAATTTATATTTTTTTAAATGTATTATCAAATGAAATGAATGACTAGATTTTTATTGGATGTTCTTTGAGAAGGCACAAGATGCATAAAAATCATCTTAGATTTTGTTGTACAAGACTACTAGAATTTTGTTATATAAGGCTACTTAAATTTTAGAATAATTATCTGCATTTTTTACTTTTGCTACCAGAAATAAGAATGAGATTAGATCTAAACTGAATTATGTCTGTACATTAAACTAAAAAACGCCAACTGTATAACTTCTTAAAAATTTACATCTAAACAGGGCAATTTTATCATCTTTCATCACTTGTGTGTATAAAATTTTGTTTTCATACTTTGTTTCATATTTCTAGGCATAAATAGAATGAAAATTTCTTAATATTTAGATGTTTTTTAACATTGCATTATCAAATGTGAACTGTTGGAGATTTTGTTTCCTATTATCCTAGGCATTATAAAGTTGTATAAAAATACATGTATTATGTGGTATATAAAGTTATTCCAACACTTTGAATATCACATAATAGTTTACACTTCAAATTGAATTTTAATCAAAAAATTAAGTATTTCTCTCAATGTTTGTATTTTTATTTTAAAAAATAAAAGGTTGATAATAAACTTATTATATTATTGAATAAAAATGTAAAATATTTTTATCCAGAAAAACAAACTCTTATGTTTTATATAAAGTTTTATAAAATATATGTTTATTTTAAAAATATATATTCTAAAAAGTATTGTTCTTTTAAGAGTTTTTGATAATTGAAATATTGTAAAAGTAGTTTTCTTTAAACAAATGCCTTCCAGGATGGACCATATGGCCTTAAAAAAATATTTTTTGTAAAAACTTTTTCTACAAACGTTGCTTTATTGTCATTAAAAAAAACTAGCGAGGGCCCCCATCTTTGAAAACTAATTACAAGTTTATATAGAGAAACTTACTCTATGATTTGATTTGATTTGATTTTGTTTTTCTCTTAAAAAAGAATTCCCAAAATCTATGCGAAACAGATTGCATTCCTTGAGGAGAGCGAAAGGGGCAATGTCCTCATGAACAGTTGTTGATTTTTACTCTCCAAATTAGGGTTTGAATGACGACATGGCATTCCACGTCACTATTTCCACGTCACCACGATCCCGTGGGAACATTCCCGGCGAACAAATTCGAGCGCATCGACAGCAGCGGAACCACGCCGAATCCCGAACTGCGAAGGCACAAATTCGACGTCGAAGACGAACAAGAAAATGCTCCCACTCTGGATGGCAACGCATCCTGAATACCTGCAGAATCTGCGGACTCGTCGAGTGTATCCACTCACTCTCGGTGCTCGGAACAGGAAGAAATTCTTGCCTGTCCTGTCGCACAGCTAGCTACTTCATTTCATGTAGGGCTGTGGCAGGGAGTGCGTAGGTTTCATGGTGTGTTGTGTAGTGTTGTGGTAGTGGTGGTGGAATTGCGGAAGTGTTGTTGGAATTGAGAGCGTGGAGGCGTGGAAGAGAAGAAAAGAGAGCTGAAGCGGCTCGCTAGGAGTCCCCCCCCTTCTTTTTTTTGTTTTCGTTTGTGTTGGTTTAGAGATGGTAGCAGTGATGGTGATGAGCTCGATGGGAGTGGCATCTCGGTCTTCTTCATCTTTGGTTGTAGATGCTGCTGCTGGTAGTGCTTCGTCTCCCTTGTCTGACTCGTGCGGGTCCTCGCGGTGCTGTTCGAAGTTGCGGTTCCCTGCGACGACGCCTGGAACGCTGACCTCCCGTGCTGCGCTCAGCAGCAGAGTTCGGGAGTTGTCGTCTATGGTGCTGCGGGGCGGCAAGGAAGTGGTTGCTTGGCCGAGGGTGAGCTCGGCGATGGTGAGCTCGACTGTGGACTTGGATGCGCGGCGGCCGGAGGTTGAGGCTTCAATCGACGAAGCTTTGGGCAATTGCATTACTGAGAGCTTTCTGAACGACGCAATTCCTTCGCTTGGACCAAAGATTCGCGGCAAAGTGGGTGGATGTCTCTTTTTTCTTCCCCTTGCTCAGCTCTCTCTCTCTCGTGCTAGCATTCTAATTCCGTAAGCAATCGCAGTGTACACGCTTCTTTGTGACCAATGAGTCTCATGCGATTGCCTTGTGGCAGGTCAGAGATATTTACGACGCCGGGGATTATATGGTGCTAGTGACCACTGATAGACAAAGTGCATTCGACCGCATTCTCGCCTCTGTTCCTTTCAAGGGCCAGGTCAAGTTTGTCAAATCTCTTAAACCCTAAGGGTTTGGCTGGCCTCAAGAATTCGGCTTCACACCCATGTCCTGAAAGGTTATGTATACTGAGAATCAATCATGTCTGGTATGGTGCAGGTGTTGAATCAGACAAGCATCTGGTGGTTTAACAATACCAAGCACATTACTGACAATGCGATTGTCAGCGCTCCAGACCCGAATGTCACTATTGCTAAGAAGTGTACGGTTTTTCCGGTCGAATTTGTAGGTAATGTCTTCTTGGCATCTTTTGTATCCCTGTTTCTTCGCTTACATTCTAGTAAAACCAGTGAATTCATTTCTATTTTTCTTCGTTTGTCTGAAGGACGAATATACGATTTAGTGCCTTTAAAAGTCAATTGCACTTTAATTTGTTTTGTGTCTTTTCTCTAAATTGTAAGATCGGAACTGGCTTGGTGATTTTCAATTTTTTTGTTGTGCTCTTGTGGTTTTTTCAGTAAGAGGATTTGTGACTGGTAGCACAAGCACTTCACTATGGACAGTTTACAACCAGGGTGTCCGCAATTACTGTGGCAACGAGCTTAAAGAAGGTAATGAATGCATGTTCAATAGCTCTTCTATCTGATCTTATAGCTATATTATGGAACAAGTCACCTCGTATCTAGCAGTCATTAGCAGGTGTGGTTATTGCTGCCTCTCTGAAGACGACTTAAGAACATTTTCAGGAGTCATTTTGTGAGACTGCAAGTTTCTAAAAACTCATTTGTCTACGGAGTCATTGCCGCACTATTTTGTTGTAGAAGTCTTTTAAGGGAAGGGTATCTAAAGGTATTGTTTGGACATATTCAGGAATGAAGAAGAATGAGAAGTTGGAAGCTAATATATTGACTCCTACCACTAAGGCTGCTGACCACGACCTTCCTATCTCTGGAGATGAGGTATGCGACATTCACCTTATTCTGGATTTTCTGCACCTAATTTTTTCAGTTGAAGTAATGATCACTCAACCACGTTTTTTTTTTTTGATTTATTTGAATTGTGAATGATGCCTTATCTATTTATGATGAAAACTTTGAATGAAAACTTTTGATTCCACGTATGTTGGTGAGGAGCTACAACGGTTCAAATTCTTACTACCAGTGTCCAATTTTCTATTATGATGGTCATACTTTTCAGTATAGAAGTTCTTTAACAAGTGGGTCCGCCCAAGTGATGCGAAAGATATTTTTGAACACTTAAAAGAGCAAGATTCAATGTGGACATTGTTTTTGGTATTTCAGAAAATGCTGAAACAGTGCGCCCCTGAAAACTAACATGATGTGATTGTTTTTGAGTTTCACAGATAGCAGAGCAAGGATTGATGTCTAGAGAAGACTATGAGGAGGTCAAAAGTAGAGCTCTTGCACTTTTCAAGTTTGGCCAGGTGTAACACTGTTAACACTACGTCTACACCTTTGCTCCTCTTTTGCATTAGAAACAATCAGTCATTTTCATTTTGAAAATGTTTAATACTGAGTATTGGAGGATTTCATTCTTGTTTACAGGAGGTGGCTCGGAAGCATGGGTTGTTGTTGGTAGATACTAAATACGAATTTGGCAAGACAAGTGATGGGACCATTGTTCTCATTGATGAGGTAAAATGCTTGTGCACTGCCGTCATGATTTTGTCAGTTTCTGTAAATCAAGGTTTTGCCTCGCTTGCTGTTTGCTTGGTGATCAGCAGTGATTTTTATTTGCTACTTAGTGTCTTGGATGTGTTAATTTGTCTTTTTAGTCTGTTAGTGTGTTCCTATACAACTACTCTCGTAGTTTTAAGATGGTATTGCTATAGGCACTTCGGACTTTGTCACCAGTTTCACCTCAGCATCACCCATGGACGATTAAGCTTCGCCTTTTTCCGTTGGCTGACAAATTAGGAATGTAGAGGGCTCTATTTCCCTCTTTACATTTGAATTTTTCTCGCATTTCTGATTCGTCTTTGTGTTTCCCCGATTTCAATCTATGGTGAGCATCTCAGGATGAAGTTCTGGCGCCTTTAATATGAGTTGCTGGAAGTCAAAGACCACTATAACACTCTTTTAGTACACTTACAGACGGATGCATTGCAAATGTGCAGAATGAATATCTGTTTTCAGCTTTGTTTGTTTAGATTGGCTTACACATTCTTCACTACCGCAGGTTCACACTCCAGATTCTAGTCGTTACTGGATAGCAGCCTCTTACGAAGAAAGGCAGCGGCAAGGACTAGAGCCTGAAAACATCGACAAGGTTCGTTGTTTTAATTTTCTCTGCGTCGTGACTGTAGAATATCCAATTAGAGATTATTAGTGTATGGCAGTATCTTCAGTGTCTCCACTACCTTATTGCATCAGAAAAGCTAAATGAAGCTGTCGGACCGGCATTCGTGTTTTTTTTTTTTTTTTTTTTTTTTTTTTTTTCAGTAATATAAGTTGCTTGAGTGTCCTCTTCTCTGATATCCATCTTGTTGACATCAGCCATGTTCTCATGCTTCATTGGTTTGCAGGAGTTCTTGCGCCTGTGGTTCAAGAGTCAGTGCGATCCTTATACTGCTGAGGTATAGGGAGCTTGTAATAAATGGCTTAATCTTTCTCCGTATTCCCGTCTCGTGTTTCTTCATATTGTCTTGAGTTATTTCTTTTCAAGAAACGGCGGGTTGAAAGTACTGGTTGAATGTAGTTGAAAACATGAAGTTTTAGTTATCTTTCTGATTTCTCATACTAGCTTGAAATAATTTGACATGAAACTCAGCTTGTTGAACTTGTTTTCTGAGTTCGAGACTCTTCAAATTTACGGAACTTGCAATTGATCCACTTATTAAGCATAGCGATCTAACTAGTTAGCGATTTTGATGAAATAACTGGATTTATACTCGTACGATGCGTCATTTTCGTAGGTTTCAAAGAGGTCTTCTTCCGCTTCACCCTGAGGAGTTAGCCTGGGCTGATTTTTACTGGCTGTTGTTGCAGGTATTGCCTGAGGCACCCAAGGAATTGGTGTCAGAGCTTTCTTGGAGGTGACTATTTTGTGCCACTTTCTTGCTCTTCTTCATCTCAGATTTTGCCTTTTTTTGTCCCTCACTTTTTTTTGGTCATAAACAATTGGTGTTTGGTTGCCCCTTTGCAGGTACATAGTGTTGTATGAAACCATTACTGGAACTAAATTTGTGCTGCCTGACGTAAAGGTAAGGGTTCGTTTCTCTTCCTCGCTGTATTCATACTCTTTCATACTTTTACATGTTTTTAAGTGGATCGAAAGCAGTGTGGATTTGGTACATAAATCAAGTACTGAAAACTTTCTTGAACTTGGCAGGAAAACCTGCACGACCGTATTATACGAAATGTGCAAGATGCTCTCAGCCTTTTGTTGTAGTGATGTCATTAAAATGGGTAATTTTTTTCGCGTGCTATTGGTACACACTTTGGATGAGCTAATGCAGTTACAGGATATAGCAAATAGCACCGACTGACGTAAATTGAAGAGGGATAATTGAAGTGCCTGGTGAAGTCAATCCCATGAACAACTTCATGCAAAGCTAGTGGTACTAAATTAGTCGGGACGGTCTCATCATCTTGAGTTCAACAATTGATTACCTCCTGTGAAGAGTAGCTGGTTGTTGGACTCGGTATGATAGCGGTCTTCAGTGAGTGTTGAGAAAGGCGTCGCACCTTCTCCGGTGCAACGCGCTTGCTAGGAGTCAACTTTTGCCCTATCGTCCTCCAGTTTTTTTGCCAGTCCCGAACCCATTTGAATAATTGTTAATCAATTGTAAATTGTGGTCCTCAAAATGGTTGCATTCTCAACATCAGCATGTTATAAATTAGAATATTGCGGGTGCCGATGTAATGTTTAGGAAAGACGCGGTTTGATAGAACCTCCTGTTTCCTTGCAGCACTGGATGCCCTGTATAGACGAACGTTCATCCACTAGAGGACCTTGGGCAGTTATTTGGGGCTGAGCATAGGGCAGCCCCGCCACTGCCTGAGGTCCTGGAGAGAATAAACCCTCTGTTGACCCCTTTCCTCCCCGCATCAAGTTGCTCCCATTCTCTTGTCTCACCACCTTGCTCCTGTTCAATATTTTGTGTTTTTGTTATATTTCTGCTTGTTCTTCAATTTTTGTTGTTCCTCAAACACTACTTTTAATTGTTGTCCCTTTTAATTTTGCACCCAATTGTTATCTTTCTGTTATATTTTTTGGATAGCTCCAAGATTAGTGTCGAGTTTTCAATCAAATCTTTGTTTCTTACTTCTGCTTATGGTTTCTTGGAGAGTTTGTAGAAATCAAGTTAGTGACATAGGTTGGGTTTGACATGATACTTGGAATTATTATCGCTTTTATTTTTTATTTAATTTTAAAACATCCCCAATTATAATATATATATATTGAAATAAAACCAATCAGTTTTAAAAGTAACCATTTATTATGTCCATACTGTTTGTTTTGATTCCTGTAAGTTTTGTATTCTTTTGATTTGCAGTACATTAAAACGATAAACTATGTATGTGTTAATATGGTTGTTGTATACTATTTAATATCTGCTACAACAGCATATATGTATTAATATGGTTGTTGTATACTATTTAATATCTGCAACAACAGTATGTGTGTGTTAATATGGTTGTTGCCTACTATTTAATATCTGCTACAACAGAATATATGTATGTACATGTATATATCTATATATCTATGTATGCATTGTTTACAATTTGTTTTTATAAAGATTAAGTCACATATATCAACATGTACATTGTTTATGTATTAAACTGTAGGATTTTGTATCTTTTATGTGAAAGATATCTTAAATATTATAATTTTTAAGTAATTTTGTAATTCAATAACATGACAACCAATTAGCATACTATCTATTCAAATATGGACCAAGTGTTAGAATTTCATCTTTCTAACATCATTCCTAATGCTATTTTCTTTTTAGAATAAAAAACATACATTAGTAGAGTAAAGAAATTTGGATAGTACTTCAATTCAAGAATAGACTTATTGGAAAATATAGTAAGTTTTCAAAAATATAATATTGTTTTTGAATCTTTATTTAAAAAAGTATTATAATAACTCTTACACTTCTGTCAACTCTACATTGAAAACAAACAACTTCATGTATCATTTAGTTGTATTTGTGGTTCTTAATGAATAGTACATTAAAATTATATTATATTGGATTATTGACTCTAACTATAGACGTAAATAAGTTATAAATATTTAACTCATTCAAGATCTTGTTTTTTTATTTTATTTTAATTTTATTATTTTTTATTTTATAAATGATGCAATTTAAGAGCAAGAGGCCAAAAGCATGTACTTCAAACTTTAATTTTAATTTAATTTAAATTTAACTTATGAAATCTCTTTACATTAAATATTTCAGATATTCAAGTAAATAAATTTAGATAAATATTAATGTCACTAAGTTCATGGATTGCATGAAAAAACAACTTCTACCATCCTCATATAAAAATTGTACCTCTCTCTCTTTATTTATACATATATATATATATATATATATATATATTCACACATCCACACATATTCCTTGTCAAAATTTGCAATTACGAAAGCAAATTTTGCACCCCAAATCCTCCACGCCACCCCCACTTCACACCAAACCATTCACAAAACACAAAACTGACGTGGCAGATCGAAGGGCTACCAATATAGGCCTCAACGCAAGCATCATCGTGAGACCACAATTAGAAGAAAGGGGCACGGGGACAGGGGGGGGTGGGGTCAAATGGAACGGAGGCGGTCATAGCGCACCACCCCCCTTTCCAGGCCCATTATTGACTGCCTCTTGTGGCCTCACCATCGGGTGGAGGCTCAGCCTGGGCAGGGCCGGGCCGGGCTGGGCCGGGCACGGCACGGCATGGCCTGGCGGGTCGGGAGAGAGGCTGGTGGTCAGCACTGCTCTGCTTTGCTTTGCTGCTGCGTGCGTGCCTGTGTGCGTGCTCTGCGATTCCTCCTCCTCCTCGTCGTCATGGTTCATTAGAGCCCTTTGCTATAGCTGGATCTACCAACCCTAGTTTGTCCCTTCCCCCACTCCCCCCTTCCCCTGGGACCTTGACCTGGTTCCATCTTCTTCCACGGCCGGGCCCGGAGCATTTTGTTAGCGACGTTTTAGCCCCTGCTGGACCTCGTGGATGGAATTTGCGTGAGATCGCTTGGTTTCCTAGGCAGGGAAGTTTTTCTCGAGAGTGTAAGCTAGGCTAGGGTTTGCGAAGTCCGGTGCCCGTGGGTTTGGTGAGAGAGAGGGCGAGTTTACAGGTTGTTTGGTGTGGATTGATTGATTGCTGCTTCGACCTTGAGGTTCGGGAGAAAGCGGAGTGCGATCAGTGGTGGAAGTGGTTCTTCTGGTGCTATGATAGCGTGTAGTGTGTAGTGGATTTTTGTGGAGCACGGGAATTTGTGCCGAGGGGTGGAGTTAATGAATCTGTGTAGATACTGGAAATGGTCTTGGATGAGTAGTGACAAGGAGGAGGCGACACATTTCAATGATTAGCTCACAAGAGACTTGTCTGCGGTCTGGAAGGTGGAAGGTTTTTGAGGAATTGGTCTTTGCGACTTCAGGTGGCTGTTCTTCAACCCTGTTATTCTGCTCCTACATCTGGATTAGACCAGGAGGCTTTTGTTCAGGATGGTTGGTGGGATCAACCGGTTCACAGTGCATAGTGTACCTTTTCATAAAGGTGAATTCAATAATGCGATATTTGTCTTCCATACTGGTGGAATTCTAAATTCGATCATCACAGTGGAACTGCGCGGATTTTCTGTCGTTATTTGGGCATTTATTTTATCCAAGTTTGTACAATTAGGTTTGTCTAATAAACCGAGCGAGTTAGCAATTTTAACAAGAGATTTGAGATTGTGACTCTTTGCCGAGGTTACAGGAATGAATATCGATGATACTCTACGAACCATGATTTGATTACTTAATCTTCTTCCCTGAAAACTACTAATAGTGAATGGCATATAGAGTGAGGATTTGACCATTATTTTCAAAATGTGCGAAGATCTCTTGTTACTAGCCGAAACTAGCACTGTACGATCCTATTTTCAGAACCATCTCAGAGGAAAGCTATACGAATCATTGAAACTGTCTATTTAGATGGTTCATGTAAATGTCTTCCCCTCATGCCATTTCTTGTCTCTTTTTTTTTTTTTTTTTTTTTTTTTTTCTTTTCTTTTCTTTCGGGTGGGTCGATTTTGATTCAAATTCAGCTTGCGCTTCTTATATGACACTGATGCTGTCTTAATGTTACATAGTGGGATAATGTTTTGAATGGGATAATGTTTTGAATGTGAGTAGTTGCATTTAGAGCTTTATATTCATACCACTAGCAGCCTTAGCTACCTCTTGCACCTGGTCAATTGCTATGTGTTGTCAATTGAGGTTTATTTAAGAAACAAGAAGCCCTGGGGCATGTCTTGCATGAAAGATTTTCACTAGGTTTGGAACTCATATTTTTGTGTTCGTGTAATGCAGTGGTGATCCCTGAAAGAAATTAGTGTCTCGGGATTTACTCTCACTTTACTTCTCATCGAACTGAAGTATAAACCCAACGTGTTTTCTCATTTTACAACATGGCGCCAGCTGATGTTGAAGGCCTGAGAGCCGCGAATGCTCGACTTGCAGCGGAAATGGCATCAATGAAGAAGAAGATGATGCTAGCAATGAAGAAACAAAGTGCGGAGGTAAAATTAGCACAGCAAAGAGCCCAGGCTGCAGAGGCTGCTCTCGCTGCTGCTGCTAATGGAAGCTCAAATGCGGCTGACTCGTATGTCGAAAGTGAAGGAGCCTCCTCTGAAAGTGGATCGCGTTTGTCTCTGGACCCAAGCATAGGACGAGACACTAATTCTGGAGTCTCTGACGAAGGTGGTGGGATCGGAAATGGGGTTGACGCAGAGACCTCGGCTGAGGGGGGCTACTTGGAGGAGCGTGAAGCACTTGTTTCAGAAGCTCGTCGAAATGTCGAAGAGAAAGAGAAACTCAACGCTGAATTTGAAGCCCTTGCTTTGAAAGCTCGTCAAACTGCTGAGGAGAAGGAGAAACTTGAAGTTGAGTTTAGAGAATTGAAGTTAGCTTCAGATCAAATTATGGAAGACTTGAAGGAAAAGAACAGGTCACTTGAGTCTCAGCTGGAGGCAATCTCACATATTAGGGTTGAGGAGGTTCGATCTCCAGACACCTCGTCACAACATAATAGTGCTGGAGAAGGAGCTGTTTCTGATTTCGAAGAAATGAGGTCTTCCGAAAATGTATACGCCGAAAAAATTTCTCTTCTCGAGCAGCAGCTCAAGGAAGCAAATGAGAAAGTAGAGAGGCTAGAAGCAGGGCTGAAAGAGCGATCGGAGAGCCTGCAGGCTTCTGAAGCCGTTGCACTCGATGTCAAAATTGCTGGTCCTCAGGCGGACAAAAGAGTTTCTGAGCTCAATTTAAAGCTGGAACAAATGAAGAAGCAGCTAGAGGAGGAGGTTACAAAGTATACTGAACTTGATGCGAAATTCGGCCGCTTGCTTAAGCGTTCAAAGCAGCGCATTCAGGAGGTTCAGAAAGAGAAGGAGGACGTGGAAGAAAAGTTCAAAGCATTAGAGGAGAAGGCCACAGAAGCATCAACCCGGCAGGCAGCATTGCAAGCAGATCTTAATGCCACACGTAATCAAGCGGGAGATGCTATTAGGAATCTGGATTCTGAACGTCAACAATTGAACATAGCCCTTCGTCGGGCAAGACATGACATAGAGGAGATGCAGCAGGCCTTAAAAGCTAAAGAGAACGAGCTCAATGAGATATCTAGTCAATTATATGAAAAGGACCAGCAATTAACGGAGCTTAATGAAAGGCTGAAAGAGGCTGAAATGAATCAAGAGGTTGCCATTTTAGGACTGAAGGAGACATATCAGAAGGTCATTGAAAGTTACGAGCAGCAGTTGTCAGAAGCTGCTAAAGATCGTACCAAAGGTGATGAAGCTCTTTCTGCTTTGCAGGATCAGCTTGCTGAGAAAGACTCCAAGTTGGCAGAAGTTGAAGCAGCCAGTAGCGGTGAGCTGGTGCGTTTGGGTGCCTTGCTAGATGCAGCTCGAGGAGACATCCAACGCATCCAATCTGAGCATGAAAAAGAGCGTGAGAGGGAGCGAGAGGAGCATAAGTCCGCTCTTTCTGTGTTGATGGACAAGTTGGAAGCATCTGAGTCGTTGCTAAATCAAGTAGAGATTGCGGCAGGAAACAGGCGAAGTCAGCTTGAATCTGAACTTGAGGGTTGTCGTCAGATTTTGAGTGCCACTCAAGTCGAGCTTGCTACGGCTAGAGCTGAGACTAAATTGCAAGCACAAGAGCTAGCTGCTTACAAGGTGCGGGCTCATGCTCTTCTGCAGAAGAAAGAGGCAGCACTGCAAGCTGCGCAGGATTCATCATCAATGGCGGCACTGGAATCAGCTCTGGAGGAAGCCAAGGCACAGGCTGCCACGGCTGCTGCAGCCAGAGACCAAGCAATGAGAAGGTTAGATACTATTGTTGCTGACTACCAGCGTAAGCTTGACGCACAAGCTGGTGCTATTGAAGAGGCAGAGCTTCATATACGGGACTTGGCCACTCAACTTGAGTCGAGCAGAGCTCTGTTGAAGTCTCAGCAGGCCGAGTATGAACGGCGCCTGGATCAAGCAGAAGAATCCGTATCCTCGAGACCAGAGGCACCTGCCGCAATCCCTTCGCCTGTAAATGAAGAGCTGGAGAAGGAGCTCACTGCCATACGCCTTGCAGAGAAATCTTTGAAGGAGGAGTTTGAATCCTACAAGGAAATGACAAATTCTATGATGGCAAGCAAAGATGAAGAAATCATGCGTATTGTGGAGGAGAGGAACTCTTTGCAGAAGCATCTCTCTCAAAAGGCGCCTACTGATGTAGTAGACATGTCAGTAACCAGTTCACCACCGCCACCTCTTGCAGAGCAGCAGATCTTGACATTGGCTCGGCTTCAGGCACAGAAAGAAGAGGAGGTGGCCAGATGCCTGCGGCATATTGAAGCACTTCAAGAAGAAATCAAGGAACTGGAACAAGAGAATCGCCTCCGCTGTCACCAAATCACGATTCTAAAAGAAGAGTATCAGAATTCTGAACGAAACCAGAAGCGATCGAACGTCGATATGACCTATGTCAAGAATGTAATTTTAAAGCTGTTGGAAACAGGAGAGGTGGAGGCTTTATTGCCTGTGATTGCAATGCTTCTCCAATTTAGCCCAGACGAGTTGCGTCGATGTCAAGAAGCCTACAGGATGCAGGCTTCTGCTGAAGTTCCATTAAGTGGAGCAGCCGCAGTTGTAGATGCCGCGACAGCTGCTCCCCGGTCATTACTTTCCAGATTCTCGTTAGGATAATGAGTGGTGAGGATTGCAGCGCAATCATTGGTCTAAAGTGACTTTAGTCCTCGTTAGAATACAGGGTTAGGTAGAGGGTACATTCGCCAATGCCTGCGTCCCAGCTGCGATCGTTGGGCATGAAGTGCTGGATTAATGCCAAAGGTTTCCGAGGGATTTGTTTAGAGAACGATGGCATGAATTTCCTTTGAAACAGATTTTTCCTGTAGTGGGTAGAGCTCTTGATAATTTTAGACACAAGAACCTGTTCCTGCCTGCAGCTAAGCCATCGGGTCTTGAATATGTAACAATACACGTCGAATTCTGCCGCCATCCTTAGTCCGGAGATGAATGCTGTGAAGCTTCCTCCCATCCAAATGTTTGGGTTCGCATGATTTAACCTAATGATCACTAGTGTGGGATGGTTCTTTGCTGGAATTTTTCCGGATCGTACAAATAACTACATGAACCCTTTTTGTTCATTTGAATTAGCTTGATGGGCAGCTGAATCTACTTGCGGGGCAGTTTACAGAAAAACCTCTCCTTACTCTGCTTATCACAGTTCCATTTTGGCCTACTCCTTTTGCACAATATTTAGCCATATTGGTTGCTTCCCCTGCAATATTCACTATCTGAATGTAATACGCCGTTAATAACTGAAGGGGATCAACTTGGTTGCCACTTTGGGCTGCAGTAGGAACAATATCTGCAGAGTTTTTTTTATTTTTATTTTTATTTATTTTTATTTTTTTTCGTTTTAGTTAAGGGGTAGTCTCCTCCAACAGCCTAAGTTAAGGCTTCATGTTGTAGGAGAAGCTTATTTTGTGTATGAATGAATTCGAAGACCTTTGTGGTGCTGGTGGCGGTGGCGGTGGCGGTGGCGTCTTCTGTGAATGCAAGTACTCGCCTTACAAGCCCTACATACCTACCCCGCTCTTGCCCATCGTCGCATCGAATGCTGTGCTGATATCTAGTCCTCCGGTATCTAATGTATTTGGAAGGCGTCTACAGCGACTGATATTGTTGGACTACACAAAAAAGTTAACCTTAAGCTCCCTAAGTGTTGTGTTATTGATTGCTGCATGTGTTTTTACAGTAGTTTAGGTAGGTGAGCTTTATTACTTCCTTCATGACAATTTGCAGGTTTCTATTATAGCTAAGCTGAAGATAATGTCCTTCCTATGTTCGCAGAGAGAGAGGGAATATTTTCGCAAGAAGCTGACGAAAGTTTACTGAACACATATCAGGGTTGGAAATGTGCAACTGTGGTAGTCAGAATCTGATCGGAACAGCAGAAGCTAGATATATACAGATGATCTTTCGAATTGTATACGATGGCTTAGGTTCGCCGTGCATTTGAAGAAATTAGGTTATCAGACAACACAATATGATGATGGAAGACATCTGCAAGAAATGTAACCTTATTCCAATCATGATTCAAGTCTACAAATTGATTGTTCATCAAACTACTATTTCCTGTGGCGAACTGTAAAAGGAACATCGGATGTGAGCTGAAATGTGCACACCTACTTCACGTCCTGGTGGTCATTTTCTTGGTTTCTTAGTCATAAAATTGCCAACATCATCCCGTAGTAGCCGGACTTCCGTTAAACGATGCCTTCCGCTAGCAATTAGGATTGCAACTTGCCTTTAAACACGACAACGACGTATTCTAAATACGAGTTCTACTGGAAATACAATATGAAAGGGTACGCCTGTCTTGTTCAAAAGCTCAAACAGAATGTCGATCGTCTTCAGGCTTTGCATCTATCAATGTTTAGTGTCTATGATTACCAGATGACGATTGACCCATCAATATGTTAGCAACTTAAGGTGAGACTGGAATTAGAGCTCTATCCAGAGATAACCTCCCAAACAACGGCACCAGTGACCATCTCATAAACACCCACTTTGCCACTCCTGAGAACGGAGAGTGCGGAAGTATACAAAGTAGATGCGGTGCGGTTGCTTGTCCACCGCTGCCCACCTAGCCCATCCCGCACAACTAGGTTACCATTGGGTTGAAGCTCCAGAGTGCAGTTGTGTTTGAAGGGATCATTGAATTGAGAAAATGCTGCCCATTTCCCATTCCAGACATATCTGCCGTCAGTGCCTTTCTTGTAGAGGACAAGGTTACAGTCATATTGCATGACCAGTGCATACTCCGTGTCACTTGATTGCAAGGCCTGTCCCGATGCAAGCACATTTTGAGTTCCGTCCCATGCTACCGGGACTAGGTTGGAGAATCTCCAATTGCAGGCCGTTTCATTCCGCCCGCCTAAGATCGCATATGTTTCAAGCGTCGCCTCTCTCACTACCAACCGGCTTAACGTCAGAGTGTCCTTACGAATTAGTGCAATTCCTGTGTCGATTCTACTGGTAGTTCCGTTGCACCCGAATCCAGAACACGTTGCAGAGGTATCCCAATCCAATGACGAAGCTCTCTGAGAGCCGATTGGTGAACCTGGTGAAGGCACAAGAGTGCCCTGTGGTGGCATTATCGTCATTGTCGTTACGTTTGGAGCCCACATGTAGGAGTATCGGAAATTGAAATTGGAGCAGTAGCCCCACGGTCTCTGATTCGTCCTAATGTCGAGATAGAAATTTGCGCAAACCCCGATTCCAGTGGTCACACCGATGCATGTGCCGTTGTCGCGTTTGTACTCAGCGGTGCAGTCACTCGTGAGATACTCGAAAGTGGTGTAAAACGTCCCACGAATTGGAGTCTCGATTACGTGAGGCGTGGAAACTTTCGCCGCGAGGGCACAGGGGGCTCCCAGTAGCATCTTGGGCCAGTCGTCTCTGAGCATGCCCGACGCACCTATTTTGAGGTCTACTATCTCATCGCTGAAGACAACTTCGAAAGCATCTACTGTTGCACCCGGACTCTCCAGCAAAACAGCTCCCAGGTATGCGAGCACCAGACCCAAGGCGTACAGTGCCTTCGCCATTGATGACCTCCGGGAATCTGCAATTCCTTGACAAAGGTCCAACGATGGAAACCAAATGTCCAGTGAAATTCTGTAAGACTGGTTAATTTGCAGAGTTCGCACGTCACACTGAGGATGTCATCGACAACAAGTCGGACTGTCCTTGCCTCTACTTTCCTGAGCAGCTTGGCATTATCCAAAGTCGCCGAATGGATCTGGTGCGTGGTTGAAAGTCTCGTGATTTCAGATGATTATTCAATCCTCAACGATCAATTTAATCACCAATGTTAGTTTTCTATATTGCTGGAAGTCGCGCACTTTCAACTACACATACACAAGCATTCATCTTCAAGCTCTCTTGGCATGCCACCTATGAATCAACTTCCAAAAATTCGATACTGAAAATGGACATGAAGCAAGAGCACACACGCTAGACAGAGAAGACTCGTGGTGTCACCATCAAGAAGTGGCTTCTGTTGTATGCTCCAAAGGCGCTACTTATATGTCCAACTTCGATGCTTATAAGTTGTACACATGAGCGGAATGTTCTATACGGATTGTCAATAGAATGGGGGGGTTCGTTTATCCGATCTGAATGGATAGATTTCCCACCTACTACTAAATGAATCAAGACGTGGATACGCGGCTCCGAAACACACCTACTCCTAGTGAAGTACAATTTTACACCATTAAATATGATAAATCCGAATTTCCTTTTTATTTTATGGAATGTGCGGCAAACGTGAATTGCCTGAACTGTAGTTGAAACTTAGTTCTCAAAAGTCGGTGCTACTGAGATCATTCACCTCACGAACTACGACTGTCTTTATTAAATATTTACAATACCCACTTGATGCTGGGGAGTTGGTCATCTTCTAAGTAATACTAATGCTGTGCAGGTTGTAATTTTATAGAACTTACTCACACCTCCACATAAAAGTTGCTAAGTTAATGTTGACAACAAGATCCAAATCAACCAGGATAGAAATTGTGTTCTGCATCTTCATATTACCACTCTTAAAATACAAGATCACACTGAATAAGAAGATAATGGTTCGGTATGCATTCGTGTTGCAGCCATTTTAAAAGCAAAGACTCATTGAATGCAAAGGTGTAAGAGTACAGTTTTAAGGGCATTCGAACACCCTTGTACAGTATATCAAAGAATGCTCGCCTACGACGCTCTAAAGTACACACGCTCCTCCGCATACAATCCATCTGATAGTCCAGTGACAGGTAGGTTCCAAAAACATGATTCATATGGCAGGTCAGCACAACGAGCAGTCGCAGCAGACATCGAGACACGGAAACCTGAAATTGCACTTTGCAAATCTAGTAATTTGCAAATTGGTAGAACGACCTCAACAGAATGGAAGCCTTCATTACAGTCTTTCCACCCCCAAAGCTGTCTCTAACGCTCCCAGACTTCAACTGAAGACACTTCACTAGCTTATTACTTCTTTGATTAGCACAGAAACACATCAATATCATCCAAGGAACAAAGCTTGGTCTGTGAACCTGCAAAATCCACAAACATCAAGATTGTGAGCAAGACCTTCAAGCACCCGAAAGAGGTGCATGTCAAAGTTAAGGTGTTGATTTATGCTTAATCACTTTGACATGCATTCAAATAAAATATCATATAATGTTATTTTATTTATGTATTTAAATATTTGATTTGATTTGACAAAGAGTACATGAGTGTTTATATATGCCTATTACATATATGATATTTTATAATGATTTTAATTTTAAATGAAATAATTAAATATATAAATATATACATGCATTCTTTTAATTTTAGTTTATAAATTATGCTATGAGATTAAAACTAAATATTTTTTCTATCAAAAATAAAATTATATTTTCTTTTTCAAAATTATAATTATTTTTTAATTCGTAAATCTGAAACTTTGTAATTTTTATGCATCAGTTTTTATGAACATATTTCAAATGCATAAAATTTGCACCTAATCAAGTTCTTAATTTAATTGAGCATTATCCAAAATACCATAAATCTTTATTTTCTTTATTTTCTAGAGTATTTTGAAATATTTTGTTTAAGACTATTTGCATTGTTTTGAATATGTTTAAATTATTCCAATGAAATGATTGAAATTTATGACTTAATCACCTTTGATAATACCATCACTTAATCTTTTATTAATCATAAGAACTACTTAGATTTATATTATAGTTTATGATGTATCACATTAAGCATGAGCTGTCTTCACAATATCAAAAGACACACTGGTCCACGAGCTCCTCGAAAATGGTCTCAACATTTTTCTACGAACTTGGAGGCTCTCAGTTACAGAAAATGAGAGAAGTCAAAACAGGCAATCTCAAAGAGGAACGAAGTCTTGTTTTGTGACGCTCTTGTTACAAGGAACTGAGAAGATCTGTTGTGTAATCTGTTTGTATCTGATGCTTGAATCCAACTCCTTCATGACAAAAAAAGCCTGCATGGATCGATGAGAAACCTAGCAGCTAGATGCTAGAGATAGTCTTGACAATCACCACTTCATTTGTGACAAAGATTCTCAATAAATGAAGAGACTGATGTATGACACACGTCTTGAAAGTTTGTGGATTCGGGTTTCATATTCTTACATTATGCCGGTGCTTGTTTGCAATTTAGACAGCCGGGAGGATATACGTCTGAGGCAGGATGCTGCGCGGCAAGAGTTCCCAAACTTATCGGCTGTAAGCCCCGCTTCTGCCATTAATGACAAACACCCACACTACAGTAAGGATTTTTTCTCGTTTTGTCAGCAGATGATGGATTCTATACTAAACAACACAAGATCTAAGTTGTGGCCTGACGATCTGGAGGATGACTTCCTAGAGGCAGTGAAGCATGTGTGGCGGATGCGCAAACTTGCACTTGCATTTGAGCCCACTGCCTCCACAATCACGGCAAAACTCACAGCACCATTCGACGCTAATATCATGGATGCTTTGGAGGCTCTAGATTTGTTCCAGGGTGGCAGCACTTGCGGTCAAGCTGTGGGATTGTGCAGCTAATTCATGGGAGCGGCACTCATGGTGATTATTACAAAAGGCAGCAGTAGAATTGATATTATCAAGAGTTGAGGGAAATTTTTGATATTTCGGGAGGATTCGAGGGGCATGTGTGATATTTTCCGTAATATTTTTAAAAAACTTACTACATAAAAAATAATTAATAAGTGGTGTTTATTATAGTTTGAGTTCTTAAAATTGGACATATTAATTCTTTAATAAAAATCACAGATATTGATTATAGTATATAAAGTTATTATAAAGTTTCTTAAAAAACTTAACAGATAGCAATTCTAGTTGTAGCTAGATAGATTTAAAACAAGATAATTTATAAATCTAGAAATTATGACAAATATCCAAAACATAATATATAAATTAGATAGAATAATGTTTAAACTAATAAGATGATTTAGACATGGAACTTGTATTATATCTAAATCTTTATATAAACTTTAGAAATAACATGATTTATATTCAAAACAAAAATTATTTTTAAGATCCAACTTGACTTTAGATTTAGATTTAAATCCAATTTTGGATTCAAATTTATATTCAAATATGGATCTAAATCTACACGTCTTTAGAAGCAATTTTTTACTAAAATTTATTTGGGAATTTAAATTGAACAAAAAATAAAATCTGACTTTACCAATAATATCATATGATAGAAAAATAACTTATTTAAAAAAATAAGTTATAAGTTACCAATAATATAAAAATATAATCCAAATCAAAATTTGATTATATCTCAAATTTGATCATATCTTTGCAAAATTACAAATATCTTAATAATTAAATAAAATATTAATTACCATACAAATAAAACATGTTTCAACAAAAAACAATCATTTGTGTTAATTTTACATTGTGTGCATCGCGTTGCAAAATGTAAGAGCTTATATTTTAAAATTTTAAAATACTTATTTATACTTTAACATGTAATAATAAATTCATTTAGATAAATTTTTATTTAGCAACACATTATATTAAACAAATAAAAATTATGACATTATTGTTGTATTTTATTTTTAAATAATCATATCAAATTGAATCATTTTAAAAGATTAATTGGTTTATGTTTTGACTACAAAGTGTGATATGTTACAGATTCATTTCTAAAACTAATCTCAGAACTTTGTAAAAGTTTAATAAATTTTCTTTTCGAAATACTTCATAACCTTCATTTTTCACACTTATTATTTGACAATACTATTTGATTTCTATGCCACCAAACATACATTTTCTTCCACACATTCAATAGAATTATTTTATGAACATTGAGCAACGGCATAATCAAAAACTTTGATCATCATTCTTTTTGAAATGTTCAAATTATAAATTTAAAGTTTAAAGTAAATACTTAATAACATTAATTCCAATAATGTACCCATATTAAATATTTACGTATTTAAACAATTTTTCATGTTTCAAACATTCTTAACTTACCACGCTCACAAACAGATAAAATAACAAAAAGAATTGAATAACGATTGCAATCATTTCTACCACCAAGTATGAAAATTTTACATTTTTAATTTCTTAACTTATCAAACAGCTTTTCTGCTTTCATTGAAAATAATTTTAAAATAAAATAAAAACAGTGATTTCTCTTTAAGATTCATGAATTTTTAAGATCCAGCATTGGTAGAATAGTTGTGATCATTTAATCTAGGTAGTGTCATGTTAAAAGATGGTCAAATAATATTTTTCTTCAGTTTTCTTCTTTCTTTCTTTCCCCTTTTCTGAAATTCGCAAAATTTCAGAAACATTCATCCCTGCACTGTGAAGGAAGGTAGACTCTGCTTCCAATCTTCAACCATGATTTCTTCCCAACAATCTTTCCTCTCTTCTTTTTCATCTTTGTTTTCCTGTACAGAAATCTTGATATAAGTTCGATTCAACATATCTGAGCTTCAATCATGATTTTTGCACGGCAAGGAGGTGCTGCGAAGCTCTCAACAAATGATCACAAATCTTAGAGGTTAATACACACAAGAATAGAAAAACCAGTCTAAAGAAGTGAAAGCAGCAACATTCAACATTAACGTAAATGCCCAGATTGAATGAATTGGGGTATAAAAAAAGTCTAAAATTCCAGTTCATTCGGCCAACACAAGAACTGCGTGTTACATGATGTTGTAACAAGAACACATTAGAAATGCCTTAACCAGACCCCACATTCAGAGGTCCTCACAATTACTGCTTGCAAATTCAGAAATAAAGCGCGGACATTGCAGATCATCTGAAAAAAAATCTTGGACACCGCAGACCCCGAGTCACTCCTCCAGCAATAGCAAGGCTCGTGTCAAGTTGAACACTTATGGCGATTAAAATTGGCTCCACCAAAGTCTCGTCAAAACCACCAACCTGATACAAAAGAAGAGAATGGATAAGATCTTGACTGCTCGACAGAAATATTACCAATATTTCGTGAAAGAGAACTGAAAGTAAAGTACAACTTCTATCATCAAGTGCGTGAATTCTTACTTCCATACAATAATCAATGTGATGATGGGAAATGTACTTACAGCTATGTTTTCAGCTGCATACCAATCAAAAAGTCTGCTTTGACATTGGCTATAACTGAACGCAGGTAAAAATACAGTTATACTTTTCTGCAATTATTGATTCAGTAGGATATTCTAAAAATAGAACTAGTAGAGCTTGAATCACTCGGTCTTTGATAATTTCAAAGCCAGCGCATACACCATCTTCCTCCGCATGCCTGTCCCTTCCACTACTTGCCTGCTAGCCTGCAAAACACAACATACAAGAATTCTATCATACTTTCTTTAGACCAAGGTAAAGAAAAGAAAAGAACTGTAATAAACTCTGCCTTCGAAAACATTCACTTCAAATACTAAATTAGTACCTCAGACGGACTAACACCAGAATCCAAAAGAGCACGCAGTTCTGCTTTAACATCTTCCTCGGTGGGTAGCTCGTCAGCAGCGCTCTCTGACAGTCCTTCAATCACCAATGTCATCTCCCCACGTGGATTTCGTTCTTCAAACTCCTTTCGGGCTTGCTGCAGAGTTCCTCGCCAGAACTGCAAGACACACAACATCAGAACATACCAGACGCGCAAAAAAGATACAGAGAGAATGATGATGAAAATTCAAGTCAATGCTTTAAGACATAAAGCGGTGCTCTTCAAAAGCCAAAATCTAATGCACGAAGGAGTTAGATAAGTTCAGTCGCCACCTCTTCATGAAATTTGGTCATCTCTCTTGCCACCACACAATGCCTGTTAAATAAGATTTTTAACATTACAAAAAAATTCTCATTAAAACACAACATTTCCCTCACAAATTTGACCTCAAGAGTATCACAGCCACAAATAATGCGTCAAACCAGTATAAGATATGCAACCAAAACAACAAGCAATTTAGTGTGTACCGTGATGGTCCAAAAGCAGACACACAGTCATCCAAAGTCTTGTTTAACTTGTGAGGAGAGACGTAAAATATCTGAGTGGCCGTCTGTTTGGATGCAGATGCAAGTATCTTCCTCCTAGAAGTTGCCTGCGTTGGTAAAAACCCAACTGCACGGCCGATGCATTAGTTTCTGATTAAGGCCCTTCGGGTTAAAAAGAAAGGCGCCATATATTTAAGAGTCACAGATAATTACATGCCAAGGCACATCTAAGTTGCACATTTTCATTACTCAAACTTGAATATATGTCTGTCTTTGAAGAGGTATATTATTCGATGAGAAACTCACAGATACCTATTTCTATAACTTACACCTTCCATAGTGAACATATTTTCTACCGAAATTCCGATTGTCAAAATAAGAAAAGAAATTTCTCACCAAAAGTGAACACTTCTGTTGGTAAACCAGAGGCAACTAGGGCAGTGATAACAGCAGAAGCACCAGGAACGGGATGCACACGCACGTTGGATTCTACACATGCCTTCACCTATACAACATACAGTATAAAGTGGATAAATACCAAAGTCTGACCGAGAGTATAAACCAACAGTCCATGAGAGTAAAGTACCTTAAAACAACTTTCTCAATGCTTAGAAAAGAACCATTATTTTAGATCATTCATATCGACCATCAACTATCTTCTTAGGTGAACTTTGGAGTAAGAACACAAGTGCTGAAAGAAGTGTAATGGTGAGTACAAGTTCAGTGCCAGGATCGCTAATGCCGGGCATCCCTGCATCGCTTATAAGGGCTAGTATTCCACCAAGTTTCAAGCGTTGTATAATGGCATCACGTCTTGCAAACTCGTTGAACTTGTGGTAGCTCATCTAAGTACCCACCAATGTACAAGGTTAGTTACACTGGCACTAGGTCAGTCATAACTTAAAATAACTCGTAGGCAAGTACGAGGGTGGTAGATTCATTGTGCATGCTCTCGAAAAGCTTGTAATTTATCTGTGCCTAAATTTGCAATGCAAACAGGGGAAGAACTGACCATAGGAGTCGTGATATTGTAATGCTGCAAAAGCCTTGCTGAATGTCTGGTGTCCTCGGCAAGTATTACTTCTGCAGATTTAAGTACGCGCACTGCACTGACATACAAATACATTGCAAATAATTTGAAGGTACAAATTAGTTAAGAACAAATCTCCTTCACATAAATCTAGAACTCCTCGCTGAAAATAGGGCATCCGGCATCCATTCTCCATACTAGGGTTAGGTCATATTCCTCTTCTGTAATGGAGTCGAGACCATGGTTGTAATTCCATCAGTCTCCTGGGTAGACTGTTATATTATTCCTCCAAACCCTACACGCTAAACCCTTGAATCTCAATAAGAGGACTTGTCTCATTTCAAATTCTTACTCAAACTTGGTTGATTAGATAGGCTTACTACTTACCGAAAAGTCATGTCTTCAAGGTTACCAATGGGTGTTGCAACGAGGTAAAGACCACCTTCCAATTTTGCCTGGGCATCAGCAACGCAATGCAAACCTCTGAAGCGTTATTTTTTCTTTTTTTAAAAAAATAATTTTTTTTCGACAAAATAGAGAAAACATGAATGGTACAACTTGCCATGCATAATGAACCACAACTGCAGTTTCTCAAAGTTGCACATAAGGCTTTCCAATGCTAGGGAGGCATACTAAAACGGTTATGAGAGCAGAAAAATCATTCTTGCGCAAAATGCAGTGCAATTTAGGAATCCCGAATTATCACCTTGTGTTTTGAAGCTTCATGATCTTCTTCGCGCACGCAATCTAAGGCTTCGTCTTTCCCAATTCCGGTCTCCGACTCCAGTGCCTCCTTGACACGCATCACGTCTGCCAACCCCTCCCGACTCGTGGAGCTTGCATTGCGCTGAGAAAGAAACAATCGTCTGCTACCCTCAAACACATTAAGGTGGGAACCTCTGCCGATTCCCAGTTGCTCCCCACCGATAGGCAGAAACAAACTGTTCCTCACTACATTTGACAAAAGCACGCTGCTTGACGGAGAAATGCTGTACATAGGTCTATGTGCGAGCAACGTTATCGTCATCCTCTTCAGCATGTGTCCTAATTCCACGTGCAGGTTCAGGGTTTAGGTAGCAGAATGGGCAAAGAGCAACATCAACCCATTAGAGGTAACCATTAACGAATCATGACATCGAATCACTTTGGTCGCCCGAGTAAACACGTTACCCTACACACAGCCACATCACATCAAAAATATTTGTTGTTGTTGATATACATAGAACTTGCGAAAATTTGAAGATAGAAACTGAGACAAAATTGGCTACAAATCGAACCTAGCAAGCTTGGAAGAGACTTCTGCAGTTGAAAGTAGCGTGTTCAGAAGCTTGGCATCCTGTTTGGCACAGTTTGGAGTATCATCCAAGACCTGGATGAACAAAGATCCATTGAAAATATGTGCAAAAAGCAAAATGTAAAATTCTTGAGTTTCATTCTCGTGGAATTACGTTGGACTTGTCCAGAGCCCTCCACTTTGTTTTATGTCTGCGTTTGTGCAATGCTACGTGTGACGATATTGTGGTTTGAAATTTTAGAAATTCGAACAGGCTAAACCAATTGGGTTGTGTGCATGCTTGGTTTGACTTTTGGGCCGCTGGTTGCAGCTATAAGTTGGAATTACGTCTAGGGTACTTGTTGATTTTCTAAGAGATGTGCTTAGGTTAGTAGCCATGGCTAGCTTGATGGGGCCTTGATTTTAAAGTTGTGTTCAGCATGGCTGAGTCGCATATATTTCAAACAAGAAGCACGATGTCTCGAAGGACCACACGATGTTTGGAGCTGGATTCAATGCAATCTTCAGCCGACTGCTATCTTACGACGTCATGGCCTCCCAAGTTCGGTGAGAGAACAGCCACACAATGGATGTCTGTTCTTCTTATTTAGTGATTGTTGTTCATATTGCCGCTTAAGAGTTTGATCAGAGTTCCATAAATGCATCGAAAATCAGGAGCATTTAGTTGGCTACAAGTGCTTTTGCCGGATTATTTTCTAAAGAAGAAGCCGTTGAAAGAAATGTAGTCAACAATGGGCTTCAGAGTGCTTTCTCTAACACCTTCTGAGTTGTGTTGTTAGAAAAAGCACTCTGAATTCCTCTGATGAGTTTGTTTTTCCCCTAATGATGGATTCCCAACTGACGCCGGACACATTCCCTCCCACATAGTAGACTGCCTGGACTATTTTTTTGACGACGGTGTTTTTCAAATGCTGACAGCATTTTCTTCTTTAGTGCTATTCAGCTGCTAATCCCACTTGCCCATCTGAGCGTAAGGCTTTGAAAGAGATCGTGCAATGTGATGAGTACTATCTGTTCCCTTAATTTGTCACTTTAAGGTCGTCAATTCTTCCGCAACTGCTTTAATCTTCATTTTGGTTCTCTCCCACATGTGATCTGTAGCAATCAGTAATCATGGACGACCTTCGAAGCTTTCTCCAGTATTTCTCCTAAACTTTGTTTTTGCAATCTAAATTTGTAAACATTGAATTCTTGTCCCTTTTCATAACGAAAACTTCACTTCTTGTATGATAATCGTTAACCTTGTTCATAGTGCCCCAGCATTCTACGTAATGTAAACCTCTGGATCAGCAGACTAACTTTTGCAAATGGGACATTAAACAGAAGATACAAATGAAAACGTTCTCGATGTGTGGATTCAGGGGTTCTGCAGTTGAATTCCCCTTGGTGACCTGGGTCTTGAGAACATGTATGTAGAGTAAGTGTCTGGAAACAATCTAATCAATTCTGCACTGACATCTACAAGGCTGGAAAAATCACCTTGGAGTGTTTGATAAACTTCAAAGAGTCAAATCTTACAAACTCCATCTTCATAAGAAACCATTACCACATACACTACCATATACATCTTGATGGAACAACTCTAGTGCAATGCTCGTTTGAATGTAGCATGAAATAGTAGGGAAATTCTCATTTACTCCGCAATGGACCTAGATTACCTTTCAGATTAACTTAGCTTCAGAATTTGCGTACTTGATCAGGACTCCAATCTTTGCTGATACATTTGCCTCCATGCATGTTGTGAGCTCCTGGCACTTTCAGCCGCTCATCAGTGAGTTCTCCATAATATAATTGTCCACCGTTAAGGTTCTAGTCCGTCGAAAGTCACATGTTGATGCCAGCAACTGTTGTTTGCATTCTCTTGTGTTGTGAACCAGTTGAGCCTCTTCATGCACTCCACAGCCTCTCTGGTCATCGGAACGCCCTGCACTTGGCAGCACACCATACTATTATCTCCGTCCATGGCATCCCAGCATTGTACACAACGACATACGTAGGTTGAAGCTCCACGCACGATTCACTGTTGATGCAAACTGCTCTTCTTGGTTCTCTGCCAAACTCCCATGACCTTCCCAACTAGCTGTAGCATAGCTGGGGGTCAGCAACCCTAAAAGTATCTTTCTATCAAGTCACTGTAGGGTCTTCCCCCCCCCCCCCCCCCCCCCGTGATTCAACCACTGTTGCTGATCATGTCTTTCAGTGAATCCACTCCCCTAAGTTTTAGAAACTAGCTGATGGAATCCCAAACACATGCTGCAGAGTGAAAGCCCAATGGTTTTGACTTGCTTCGAGTTCGATTAATCTAGGGCACGGAAACTGCTCCTAGCCCAGAAACACATCGGCACAAGGGGGAACCTCGCGGGGATGTGTGGGGCATGGGTGTTGATGTGTGGTGGGTGGTGCCCAAGGCAACTCCACATGTCAACAATAGGGGGAACGAGTCTTATGAAGTACTCTAGGAGTGACCAAAGGTAGTATGGTCCGAAAGTACTCTAGACTGCGTGATGTGCAACAATATGCCTGCCTGATTTCTGGGTATCGTGATATTAACCAGATTCCTTGAAAATGCTCTTGAACCTCCAGTTAATTCCTCCAGTTTGACTCTTTGTTAAGATTCCTTTGCAAATATTTTCTTATTCGCACTTGATCACGGGATGCAGGATTTGCATGCAGGTTGGGTTAGCTAAGTCGCCAGTGGATTCATTCTGTTTCTCGGTCACAGAAGAGTTGGTAACTATATCTCAGTTTTGATTATGCTATTACTGTAGGGTTACTTCGATTTTGACTGGAAAGAAGAGTGTATACCGGACGATTTGAAACCAAAGCACGAAGACTAGTGGTTGGGTTCCAGTTGTGTGTTTCAGTTATTGATATTTTATGTTGGTTGGTCATTGACTGCGGCAATCTCTGTGTAGACTAATGCATGGTTGTTGCATCTTCCAGCGAAGTTGACACTTCAGCTTGATCAGCAGTTTGAATCAGTTGGCAGTTCTATTGTTGCCCTCAGTAAAGTGGTGACTTGACCTGAGTTGCGTAACAACGATACAATTGCAGGGAATGATAGGAGATGAATTGATCCACACCCAGTTGATATAGACTGTTTTTTTCACTGGAGCGTTTGCGAATAATGGCATGAGATGAAATATGAACAGGGCTTTGAAAATAATGCCACTAAGTACCAGAACCTTCAAGAAGATGTAACGTCACACAAATGTATTTGAAACATCATTGTACTTCAAAACTCTTTTTTATTATCATTTCTGATAGAAACATTAGTGTGTGGAGGACACTTGACTTCAATAGACATGGACACTTCATCTTGCATGCCGACAAATGGGTAGCTCAAAATGCAAGGACTAAGAGAGACTAGGAAGCCTTCTTTACACACTATCCAGGTTAACACCGTCAAAAGATGCACCTCTAACCCATTCAAGAAAAATAAATAAATAAACAAATCTAGAAAATTGAAACGTGATTTGATCGTCTCGTTTGTCCAACTATTAAATTTTGCTTTCAGACACCCATGCAAAGGCATCTCCAAGTCCTACAGAAGAAGCCCATACGTACCTCATCAGTTATAAAATAGTCCAAAACACTTGCATTGATCATCAGATAACATGTAACAGAATCAGGCAAAGATCCCTTCTCTCCCTCACGATCACGTCCTTCCACAGCTGAACGATTCAGAAACTTCTTCCAGGTTTAGCTCCCCCCAACAAAGTGGGTGGGTCCAACCCACCCTACCCTGAACAGCTTGTTCAAAGATTGGGTTTGTGCAGAGGCTGTGGCAGAGCCTCCTCGTTAGTAAACCCTTCTTATTTCCATGATTAATCTTTACTTTTCTTTCTCTTGGGAGTAGATTCTATCGCCAAAGAATGGGACCCAGCTCCAGAATTATCTGAGCAAAAACCGACAATTGAATACATGCTCCACCTCAAGCATTCTTCTAAACCTCGACTCATACGTTGCAGAACAAGGATATTAAAAATGCTGTTCACAGAAATTAATGAGGAAGTGGGGTCTGACCTTCAAGACGTGGCTACCGAGACAAGAATAGAAAAATGTAGAATTTGGGCCCCGTTGTTTTACTGTGACGATTGTTCACCTCCTAAAGTTCCATAAATCACGCTGTCTTTCCTTTTCGTGTGATGGATTCTGGGCAGTCGTGAAAACTGGAGAGAATATGTAGACAGCATCTGCAAGTATCATACCAATTTCTGCCACACCCCCACAATAACTACAAAAAATGAAAAGCAGAACCCCTTACTCACAAAAAGTTGCGAAACCCTAATGTGGCAATTGACAACTCAAAGCGGTTGGGTCCAACCCACCCTTCGTTGCATTGTCGGTAGAAAGCAGGTGGCCACTAATGTCACTTCTCTCTGTCACTAATTCTGCTGATTAGTTATCTCATCCGTAAACCTGATTATTCCTGCCATGAATGGCCAAAGTAGAGTATCCATAACAGAGGACTAATCTTCCGACCAGGTGGAAGTCATTCCTGCAGAGTCATCTCTTGGCCCGATCTTATCAATCTGCAGAGGATCAACCGAAACCCCTCTCACACCAAACCAACTTCACCAGAGACAACAATAAATATGTAAATCATTCGTTGTTACTGTTTTCTAGTGTCATCTGTACTTGAGTTGGAGATAATGGGAAAATTTATAAAGAATTTTTATGAATGAAAAATGGCAAAGACAACTCTAGTGGTGCAATTGACTTATATGTTGTAGAGAGTCGCACATGGTGGATGCAATTTGGCACATGTTGCTTGAAGAACAATCACCAGAGAGCTAAAAAAGAGGTTGTTGGCTGTAGTTGGTGACTTGCATGGCCAAGAAGATTGAGCCATTTTTTCTTTTCTACTCCTTTTTGTTTGTATTATCTTTTTTGTTGTCTAGTTCTGTATTTTTGTTTTATATGTATATATATATATATATATATATATATGAAGAGAGAGAGAAACAAATTGTCACCTTGAGTTGAAGAGATGACAATACAAACTAACAAAGTTTATATATTGTATTAATATAGCAAATGAAAGAATGAATCAACATATATACTTACCATATTTTGGTTGCTATGATTATAAAGAGTCCAGTATTAAGATATTAAGTGAATTTCATGTATATGTTTGTATGTATGTATATATATATATATATATATATATATATATTTCTTTTTGCTTGATTTTTTTTTATTTGAAGATATATATATCTAAGTATATATATATAGATAATACTTAGGTTTTTTCAATACTAAGATCAAACTTGTAGTATTTGACTTATTATCAAATACATAAATTTCAAAGAATTAAAAGATCAATAAATTTTTGTGTCACTCAAAGAGATTAGAAAATCACTCAAAGATGGTATTATATAAAACTAAAATGGCTATAACTACAGACAAACAAACTATAAAGTCTTAAAACAAGACTTAAGATTATAAAGACATTGTCTAGAGTGAAGAAGACTTCATTCTTACTTCTATATGTACTATCTAATTAAAAGCTATGTTGTGTCATTTTATAAGACTTCAAATATGTGTACAATTTGTAAGACATGTATCTTAACTTGCAAAGCAAGTTTATTATGTGCATGCCACATTATTAGCTTATACCACAAACTATCCATACATGCAACACATGGCTAATTTGTTCACAAAGTTTCTAACCTATCAATCAATTATAAATATATATATATAAAGTCAAATATGCATCTATTATCAAGGATATGAATCTTAAAGAAAGAAATCCTAAATATACTCTTATGTTACTGAAAATAACTTAAAAGTCACTCAAAGATGATATAGTATTGAACTAAAATGGCTATTGCCAAAAATAAGAAAAGTAGAAAGTCTTGAAATAAGACTAAATACTAGAAAGGCATTGACAAGAATCAGAGGCTTTACTCTTATCTCCATATATATTTTTAACTAAGAGCTATCTTGTAATGTCTTACTAACAAATGCATAGTTAACTTGTTTTGCAAGCTATCAACATATGGTTAGCTTGTTGATTAAGTTTCTAACTTACTTTCAAAGACAAGAACTTGATAAAAATAAATAAACAAGTAAGACTTCTCTCAAAGAAAGATGACAAAATAGAAATGACTAAATATGTATATTAAGAAAGAAACAGGAATGGTTATTGCCAAAAGACAAGAAAAACTAAAGATCCTTGAAACTAGACTAGAAGTAAGAAAGGAATTGAAAAGTGTGAAGAAGGCTTCACTCTTGTTACTATATATACTATCTAATTAAGGAATATGTGGCAATGTTCTATTGGACCTTCAATATGTGTTGACTTTGTAGGACACATGCCTTGACTTACTAGGCAAGTTTTTCTACGTGTCGGCCACATAGTTAGCTTGGTCTTCAAGCTAACAACATGTGTGGCACATAGCCAACTTGTTGAACAGGTTTTTAATCCAAAAATTCAATTAAAGATACCTATAAAGTCAAAGCGGCATCTATAAAGCTTCTAAGAAGCTTTTATAGCAAATATTATAGAATTAACTTACTTTTATCTATTTTTAATTACTTCTACCTATTTATACATGTAATTATTGGTTTACATGCATATATTTGTGACACCTACCAATCAATTAGAAACACATTTAAAGTCAAATCAATATCTATAAAGCTTTTAAGAAGCTTTTTGAGAAAATATTATGAAATAAATTTACTTTTATCTACTTCTATTTAACGGTATAGGTAAAAATAAATATGTATTCTAATTTTTATTTATATCATTAAATTAGAATAAATATGTATGTCCGTGGCATTACCTCTCCTTCTAGGGACAAGTTCTATGAAGAGTAGTCATCATATGTTTAGAAAATTTAAGATGCGACAAATTGTGTTTGCTACATATTTTGATCTTTATTCTTTTTGAAGATGGTTGATAGTATCCCATACCATGGTAAGAAGACCACCTTGTTATTTGATTATTGTTAAGAGCTTCGTAACTTCTTTTAAATAAAATATTTAAAACACCATCAAAAGTTATTTCTACCTCCAATAAAATCACCAAACATCAAAAGTCTCTTCCAAAGTCGTGATACCAAACACGTTATATCTAGCCATCTATTTGAAGAAAGATATGTTATTCTTGGAATTCTTCATCTTGATTACGTCAACTTAAAGGTTGTGACAATTGTAATATCTTGTCTAATAAGTTAGCAAGTAATAGCTTTTGAATTGAATCTACTGATTATTGGTTCTGTATTTCTTTAGTGCTACAAATATAAAAAAGTTAAAAATAAGATTATAAGATAGAATGCTATCTTTCTTAGATCTTATTTCTTTCATAACAAAGATTTATTATTATTATTTTTCATCTTTGTTTTGATAGATGTCATTGATGAAAAGCCTCAATTTTCTTTGTTGCATTTGTAAGATTCTTTAATGGCTTCTATGTGCATTTATTAATATCATATTTACGCGAATGAATAAGATATTTCAACCTATTTTGGCACTGCCTTGAATCTGAAACTTCTTCTATCTCAAACTCTTGATTATTATCCACTTCTATAGGAGGAGGTGGTATTTGTCTTCTTCCCAAGATATTCATTATCTTATATGGCTTAAAAAGGGACATATGAAATACAAGATGGATCTTCATAGACTTTGATAGATGTAATCAATAAGCAATAAGCTTGACTTATTCACTAATAAAAAAATATCCAAGCCTATAATAGTCCAACTTATCATAAGGACAAGTAGTCTTGATATTGCGATGAAGTATCTATATGTTATCATCCATGTTGAATTGTAGTTGTTCCTTGCAATAGGCATCTGCCTTAATTTCTTTTCGTTCTTGAACTTCCTTTGACTGTGCCTTCATTATTGCATGTAGCTCTGACAAAGAATTTGCTAAATCATTCACAGCAAGATTATCAATTTTTAAAAATTCAAAAATATCATGTCATGGATAACAACCATAATTAATAAAAAAAAAGCTGTTTGTTGAGTGGATGAATGCATTGAATTATTATATGCAAACTTTATAAATGATAAAAGAGTTATTTAATCATCTTGATAATAGTTGATGGTACACCTAAAGTAATATTCTAAAATTTAATTCACATCTTCTGTTTGCCCACTAGTTTGAAGATGAAAAGCCAAAAAGAGTTTTATATCCACCTTTAAAATCTTCAAAAAGATTTTCCAAAATCATAATATAAATTGATTCTTCCTATCCAATATAATATCTTTAGGCAATTTGTAATAGCAATAGATATTATTAAGAAAAAACTTAGTTTTTTCTTCACTTATGATAGATTTTTTATATGGTACAATATATACCATCTTGGTAAAACAATCTACTACCACAAATATAGAATCATACAAACTTAAGACTAGAAGTTCTATAATAAAATCTGAAGAAACGGAAGACCATGGTTATTTTAGAATACGTAATAGCTCAAGAAGTCCACAAAGTCAATGGGAAGGAGTTTTGGAACTTGAACAAATATCACATGATTGTATAAAGTCTTTGACTACCTTTCACATTTGAAGCCACCAAAAATCTATCAATATTAGCTCTAAAGTCTTGTTGTAACAAAAATATCTAGTTGCTAGAAAGTCATGACAAGTTAGAAGAACATGTAATCTTGCTTCATCCTCTAGAATCTATAATTGCCTTTCAAAATAAAGTAGGTTGTTCTTGAATTCAAACATGGAAGTACAATAAGACTTAGAAGAGTTATTTTTCATATCATAGACTAGAGGATTAAAGAATATACTGAATTGAATTTACTTAACAAACATTGAATCAATAGTCAATATTATTTTTATTACTCAAAGGTGAAAATACTTTAGCTTCAAAAAAATTATTCATTTTTGATTAAAAGATTTATTTCTTTCTTTTGATATAAGATAAGAATGTCTAAAAAGGGCGTCCAATAAACCTTGTTGTTTTTTTGATTAATAAGTGACCTTGAAATCAAATCTTGATAAAAGAATGCTCAAAGAAGCTTAACAAAAATTCAAAATATGTACTAACATGAAATACTTGAAGTTCTTATGATATATATATATATAGTGACTAGACTTGAGGCACCTTTCAAATAATGATGCTATTCTTGAAATGAATCTAAAATTGCAAAGAACTTATTACTTTGGATCTCATAATTAATCTTGGCTGCTAAAACTTTTCTAGAATAGAAGGCTTATAGATGGAATTTATTATCTACTTCTATTTATAACAATACTATGCTCAAAGCAAAATTTGATGCATTTGTTTCTATAAAAAATATCTTAAAGAAGTTAATACAATATAAAATTGGTACAAAAGTAAATTCTTTTTCTAAAGCATCAAAAAATACTTTGACTTTTTTTTTCCACTCAAGTTTATTTTTACAAGTCAAACATGTAAGTAGAGCTACAATTTGAAAAAAATTCTTGATAAAAATTTGATAGTAATTGAAAAAGTTCAAAAAGCATTGTACATTTTTTATTATTCTTGAAATCTTCCAAATCATAATAAACTAGACCTTCTTTGGATCCATTATTAGTCCTTTATTAGAAATGATATATCCTAAGAAGTCAACTTAAGTAATGTGGAATAT